CGTCTAATCTTTAAAGAAATTATATATATAGTATTGATTCTCTCTTATATGTAAGGAAGCTGGGGCCCTAAGAAGTTAACTTGACCAAGAAATCTTTTTACTTAGTATTTCTGGGAAAGCATCCTGGAATATAACTGACTGACAAGTGCTTTTTTTGAAGCAGTGACCTTAAACAGATTTTAATTTATTTAAAACAAGTTTATTAGCTACTCATAGCATTTTGTTGGCTATATTTTGCCTGCTACCTACCTCTCATGAGAAACAAATCAATTGAGATTTCCAGGTTATTATTCATATTTTTTAGTATCATTAAAAATTATAGACAAGCTGTCTATCTCTGAGGGATTAGTTAAGTAGTGATCCATTGCAAATTAGAAAAAATTCTTAATGATGTGGGTAAGTGTTCAAAACATTCAGTTAAGGCCAGAAAACAGCATATTTTTTTTAAAACCTCTAGTCTTTTTTAAAATTTTATAAAATACAGTTTTTTTTGTATGTGTACAGATAAGTAAAAGACTCCAGGGATCATCACCAAAAGTTCTTTATGGGTTGTAGTAACTTATAGCTTTATTATTGTATTTTTTTGGCATTCATTAAATTTTTTGGTACAGGAATATTTTGGAAATATTGCAGATTCATTTCCATACCTTAACAATAAAGCAAATCATCTGAATTTTTTGGTTTCCCAAGATATATAAAAATTATATCTACACTATTCTATAGTCTATTAAGAGTGTAATAGCCTTATGACTAAAGAAACAATGTATATACTTTAATTTAAAAGCACATTGTTGCTTAAAAAAATGCTAATGACCATCTGAACCTTCAGTGAGTCATAATCTATTTGCTGGTGGAAGATCTTGCCTCAAGGTGGGTGGCTGCTGACTCATCAGGGTAGAAGTCACTAAAGGTTGGGATGACTGTGGCAATTTCTTAAGACACAAAGAAGTTTACCACATTGATTGACTCTTTCATGAAAGATTTCTCAGTAGCGTGCGATGCTGTTTGATAGCATTTTACCAACAGTAGAACTTCCTTCAAAATTGGAGTCAGTCTTCTCCAACTCTATTCTCTGCTTTATCAACTAAGTTTATGTAATATTCTAAATCCTTTGCTATCATTTCAACAGTATTCACAAAATCTTCACAAGGAGTAGATTTCATCTCAAGAAACTACTTTTTTTGCTCTTCTGTAAGAAGCATCTCCTCATCCATTGAAGTTGTATCAAAATGCAATGATTCAGTCATATCAGGCTTCACTTCTAGTTTTCTTGCAGTTTCCATCACATCTGCAGTTACTTCCTCTGTAAAAGTCTTGAACTCCTCAAAGTCATCCTTGAGGGTTGGAGTCAATTTCTTCCAAACACCTGTTCATATTGTTATTTTGACCTCCTCTCACGAATCACAAATGTTCTTAATGGCATCTAGAATGATAAACATTTTCCAGGAGTTTTGATTTACTTTGCGCCCAAATCCATCAGAGGAGTCACTATCCTCAAGTTTCATGAACCAACCTCTGTTAGCTTTCACCTTTTCTTCTGCAGCTTCCTCATCTCTCTCAGCCTTCATAGAATTGAATAGAGTTCAGGCCTTGCTTAGGGGAATGTTGTGACTAATTTGATTTTCTCTCTAGATTGCTAAAATTTTCTTTATATCAGCAACAACGCATTTCACTTTTTAAAAAAAAATCATTTGTATGTTCACCAGAGTAGCACTTATAATTTTCTTCAAGAATACTTCCTTTGCATTCCTACCTTGGTTAACTGTTTAACACTTGAATCTTGCCTAGCTTTTGACCTGTTTCTGCTGTTGACATTCCTTTCTCACTAACGGTAATCATTTCTAGCTTTTGCTTTAAAGTGAGACATACAACTCTTCTTTTCCCTTGGACACTTGGAGGCCATTGTAGGGTTATTAGCTGGCCTAATTTGTTCCTTTTTTTGAGTTAGAGTCTCACTCCATCACCCTGGCTGGAGCAGTGGCTCAACTCACAGCCACCCCAGCATCAACCTACTGGGCTCAGGTGATCCTTCCGTCTCAACCTTCCAAGTTGCCGGAACTACAGGCGCCTGCTACCATGCCCAACAAATTTTTTAATTTGTTATAGAGACACAGTCTTACCAAGTTGCCCAGGCTGGTCTCAAACCCCTGGGCTCAGGCAATCCTCTTGCCTTGGCCTCCCAAAGTATGTAGTGTAGCCACTTTCATCAATGATCTTTGCTTGAACTTCTGGATAACTTGTTGTGGCCATTGTGCTGGGCCGTCTAATTTCAGTATGATTGTATCTTAAGGGAATAGGGATGCCTGACGACAGGAAGAGAGTCGGAGGAATGGTGGAGCAGTCAGAACACACACAGCATTTATTGATTAAGTCCACTGTCTTATATGGGTAGGGTTCATGATACCCCCAAAACAGCTACAATAGGAACACAGAGTTCACTGGTCACAGTTCACCACAACAGATATTGATATAATAATAAGGTAGAAGTTTGAAATATTGTGAGAATTACCAAAATGTGACACAGACACAAAATGAGCACATGCTATTGGAAAAATGGCACTAGTAGACTTGCTTGATGCGGGATTGCCACAAACCTTTAATTGGTTAAAAAACAATATCTTCAATGTACAATACAGTGAAGCCTTTAATAAATTGAGGTGTTCATGTATATATATTTATTATTTTTGATAGTCAGGAAAAATGGTATTATTAAAAATAAAATTTGCCTAGGGTCACACCTGTTGAGTAGCAGTGTCAGGATTTATCTCAGGTTTGTTTCACTTTAATGTCCAAGTTCATTCTACCATTATCTGCTGTTGTGTGATCATGAACTTTAGGAATCATTCCAGCAAGATAGCTTAGCTGCAGCATGCTTTTATAATTGCTCTCTTTTCTTCTGCCCCTTTAGTCTTTTCAGACTTTTCCCATTCTTTTTCCCACACCTTTGGTCCTGCCTCCAAGTTTATTCCTTGCTTCCAACCAACTTTTTACACACTAAATTTGATGGGGAGGACAAAGCAAGCAGAATCAAGCTTTGGTAATTAACTTTACATTTCAGACAGACACTATTTAAAAGCATGTGTGTCTTAATAAGCTCCACTTACATCAGTGATAAGTTGTATGTGAAATTTATCTGATATTGTATTTAAAATCAGAGAAAATATGATTATAAAATTTATACTTAATATCTGTTGTTGAATGCTCTGAACATTGATTATTGGTTTGATAGTGCATTTTTTGAAGTTTATTATAATATAGATTTCTCTCTTCACACCATGGAATTTTTAAAATGTTGACATTTTAAAACTTTTTCACTCAAAATTTTAAAAAATAAAAAATATGTGAAATTGAAGTCAACTGTTTTGTTACCATCTTAGTCTGCATTTCCACTTTACTTCTTTCTAGAGCTTATGAGATCAATTTGGTGACATGGTGTGTATATTTTTCATCCCACTTTAAAAACTGTTACATGTGTGCATAAAATAGATATCTGTGTTTTTAGTGTATATAGAGGTGATATAGTGCTCACTTTATTGTGCTATTTTCTGTTTTCATTTATTATATTAGTGGTGTAGCCATGTACTGATATATAACAATCATTATTTTAGTGACCTTTTAAATGAATATACCAATTTGAAGAGTGCTTTCTTTTTTTTTTTTTTTTGAGTTGGAATCTCACTTTGT